AGTGAGCCCCTTCTCCATATTTTCCATCCATCTATTTCAAGCAATCTGTGTGTGTGTGTGTGTGTGTGTGTGTGTGTGTGTGTGTGTGTGTGTGTGTGTGTGTGTGTGTGTGTGTTGAAGATGAGCTTGGAGACATAACACTCACCTATAGTCTGCTTTATATATACTGCTTTTACATAGGCAGGTCTTATTGACAACTTAACCTTTCTTTTCTTTTAATTGTTTTTATAGTTTGTGACATTAACACTGGTCGGCTTTGTGTTTAATCTTAAACATATTTCAGGATATACTGTCGATCTTCCAGTATGATACACTTTCATTTAGCACTAATACACAATGTCTTTTATGTGTTTTTTCAGACTTGAGAAAGACATTTGACCAGGAACCTCTTGGAAAAGAAGTGTCACTTGAACAGGAAGTGTTACTTCAATGTCGCCCACCCGAAGGCATCCCAGCTGCTGAGGTAAGGTCCAAAAGGGTGTTTCATGAAGCCAGTGCACGTTTGTTGTTAGGATAATATGTTTGAACAGGTAAGTACTTTTCAGGGAAATGAAGGCAAAATGCTCTCACCTCAAATCCACCCAACTGACTTCTTTAAAAAGAGGTAATTTTCACTGACTTTTGGGATGGGTTTTTGGAGATATGCCATCATTATTCTTGGCATTATTTTTTGTTAAGTATATAAAATGTTAAAATATCACCTGCAATATTGTACTGCATAGTGAGCTCATGCATTTTTTAGCATATATTGTAATTTTGGTAGTGTCAGTCACTGATTCTGTTCTTCTATTCTCTAAATAATTCAGGTAGAAACTGTGTGTTGATTACAGAATTTGCCTCAGTTTTAAACTTGCCTATTTCAGAGGTTTCAAATAAAATAACACTGAATAAATCTGACACGCCACACTGCGCAGATAAGGACATTTTTCACCACTGCCCGGGTTATTAAAGTTCTTTGGGTATTTCCTGAACATCGGCCTGTCACTGCAATTTGGAGGAGAGAAAATTGTAATTATCTGCCGAGGGATAAAAAAAAAAAATACATTCAGTTGTGTGACTTTGCTACCTTAGCTTGGCCAGTATCTCCTCCCTGCCGTTCTTTCTCCCTGCCCGACAGTAGAACCCTATTAGGACTGTATTTGAAAAGGCTCAGTTGAGATTGCAGGACCATAGATACAGGATGAAAGTGTGGTTTGATGGTTTGGTCGGGAGGTGTTTTTTTTTTTCAGTTGTGAGTTGTAGGGACTGAACTCTGTAAAAGCTTATGAATGACCTGGAAAAGCTGAGTTAAGTGAGTGGAACTGCACAGCATTTATCCCTGCTGAAAGTGCTGACAAGCTCAATGGACGAAAGTTTAGGAGTAGCACTCCGCAGACTCTCCTCATACAAGCCAGGCTTTAGTCAGATAGTTTTCCTGTAACAGCTGTATAGTAATGGTGATTTCTACAGCCTGTCTGAGGTTACTGTAAGCCCTGGATTAGCTCAGTGTAGCGATCAAAGACCTAGCTTGATTACAATCATACCACATCCTTCTGAATTGCTGTGGCAATCCAGATGTACAGTGAAGAGTAAACAGGAGATTCTGTTCGCCTGGAGTAAAGGAGCCGCTGTTGTTTTAGTGTAGATACCATCAATTGAGAAAACAGAGCACTCATACGATGTTTAGCTATTGTAGTAATTGACCTCTTTTAAAAACATTATAGTCTTTTCAGATTTCCCTTCACTTGTATTCAGACTAAAGTCAGTAATTGCTTTCTATTTACTTTTCTTTCCATGATCTACCTGACTTTTCAGTGTGTGTACAGAGGCACACTTCCAGCTCTTTTAACTAGTCCCTCTTACCTCATGGCTGCTAAAAAAGACAACAGTCCCATTTTACTAGATAGTTCCCCCACCCTTTTCTTCTGAACTCAAACTCAGCTGCCTCGGAGGGAAAAAGGACAAAACCGAATGCTGCTTTTTCATCTGTGTTTGTCAGGCCTCTTCTCACATAAGCTCGCCAGAGAAAAAACCTTGGAAAAAGCAGATGGGCTAAGTCTGTGGTTACATATGAATCTGGAGAAATATGTAGCAGCCGCTGTTGAGAGAAAGATCTGTCATATTTCACCGGCTCAAGACACAAAAAAATATAGAGAGGATGAAGGCAGAAGGAGAAGAGCTGTTAAGGTTTGTCGGGGATTGGATCCACTGAGTTGTTGTCAGGCCTCCAATGAGCTGTCAGCTCACTCTGTGGTTCCTTTGCAGGCCTTTGCCCAGAGAGCAAGAGGCTGGCAGGATGGCAGAGCTGTGGCGGAGCCATAAAAACCCCATACTCTCACAGCACTTTTTTTTTTTTTTAAATCATGTGCCGTGTGGCTTCTCTGTCATAAAAAAGTACAAGTAAGGCATGCACATCTGCTGACTGTCCATGTACTGCATTGTCATATGTTTTAACTTCCACTGACATGTTCCCATGACAGTGTACCAGCAAGGACATTAATTTGCCTGCATACAGAGAACTTGCTGCCAAAAGACTGTTCGTCCGTTCCATGTAATTACCGGTGTGATTCCTGGCTCACCAGCCAAAATTAATTCACATGGACTGCAAAATAGATTCACCACTAATAAATGACAAGGAAGAAGCTGAATTCTGTGCTTCCTCTTTTCAGTTGAGTATATATATATATATTAAAGAAAATCTAGCATTTCATTCATTATGTATTACAAAATACACTCATCATCTTCTTATTGTCTTGATTTTTAAATAGTTTTTAATCTACTTTCAGTTTCTTCTGTATACATGGCTCTGCATATTTGTTTTATTTAGCAGTTTTTCTTTTACAGGTTGGTTTCATTTTAAATATTTGCATGTTTCAGTTTTGACTGCTCAAAAGTGTTCGGCTTTAGTTTATCTACTTATTTTTTTCAGTGTTAGTTTCTGCTAGTTTCCTTCATCCAATGACTACTGGGATAAGCCACAGCCTCCAAAAGTAGTAGAGAAAGAGCATAGATGGATTTATTTCAGAGGGAAATTTAAGACACACACAGGAGGCATTACAGTATAAACACTTAGATCACACTCACGTAGACACCCCAGTTTCACGTAAGATGAAGTAAAGCCACCCAAAGCTGGTTGTGTTAACAGACTAAAACTAACAAAGTGGGACATTTCCTACACATACATATGCAATATACAAACAAGCACTGGTCTACAGATTGGGGTGTTTTCGGTCCCATTAACACAGGTGTGTAAAATCAAGTAACTAGGTAAGCAGTCTTCCTTTTAAAAAATAATGGGTCATTCTATAAAGAGGTCACTGAAGATTTTGCTGTTATGGGATGCTACCATTGCAACAGGTCAGGTTTGGAAATGTCTTACCTGCTAGTGGAAGTGGAAGCATTTAGGAACCACAGTCACAAGATGGAAGACCATTTAAAGTTACAGAGCAGGATTGCCGAGTGTTGAGGAACATAATGTGTAATTCGCCAACAATCTGCTGACTCAATAACTGCTCCAAACCTCCTCTTGCATTAACATCAGCACAAAAACTGTTCACCGGGAGCTTTGTGACATGGGTTTCGATGACCTAGCAGCTTCTCTATGTTTAATGTGTAGATAAAACAGTAACTTTGTCAATGTAGTATATTATTATCTTAAGTGCATAATATTGTTCTTGCTAGATTTTGTTATTTTCGGTGTGTAGTTTTTTTTTCCAGTTAACTAACCTTGTCTATTGCTACTGTTGATTGGTGTCTAAAAACATTGTTCCACAGGTAGTAACATATTGCTCTGTTGTTTCGCTTTAGAAAAGATTCTGAGCTGTCATTAGAACTGAAAGCACTGATAGTTTGTGTTACTTCAAGGTGAATAGTTTTAGTTAAGCTTTCAAAAAGGCGTTCTGTCGAGATCAGCTATAATGCCAAAGGTGTTTCAGCTGTTTGAAACGGTTACTTACCAAAGTATTACCACATACATACTTGCACATTCAAAGAAGAAAGAAGCCCACATTTTGCAGAATCAAAGTAAGTCAATCCTAATTAGTTTTGATCTCAGATTACAAAGAACTGCACTGTTTGATGCAAGCTATTATCTATCTCCTGGTTCGTCTTTGTCTTCCCACTTTTTCAGATGATTTACATTATAAGCTGTCATGATGGTTTACCATAGTAATGACATCCTGTGATTCTTTTTAAGTGGTTTTGAGTTTTTCTTGGCTTTCTGCGTGGGCTGTTGCCCTGAAAACTAAACATTATGCTGAATAGCTTGGATTGCTTCTGTGATGATGCAGCAAGTTTTCATAAAAAAACACATGAAACATCTCAGAGGTTTTGGTACTTGAAGTTCAATCTAAGCCATTTTCATGTTTACTTAACTTATTTTTACTGAAGCACAGTTAGTTGTGGAATACACACACACACACACACACACACACACACACACACACACACACAC